ATTGTTGGCTCTTAACCGTTATCGGATTAAAAATGGAAATAAGGTAGATAGTTCAATTGGTTGACTTGCCTAGCTTTCACTAGTAGGCGCCATCACGACTTTCGAGGGTGGAAAATCCGGGTCGTGACAAGTTGGTATCAATAGAGAGAATACTTCTGAACTTGTGGTGTAAAATGAAGCATATATATTTTATGTGACTATAAATCATTGCATAAAGGTAAATTATTTTCAAATAGGGAAAAAAATCATTCTTTTTGGCACGGACCAAAAAGGAAATAGTTTAGATAAATTGAAACGGAGTAAGTATTTATTAGAGCAATTTCAGTCAAAGGCGAACGTATGGTGATGTTCAACGATGCTGAAATTGAAGCCATTGATATATTTCCCATCCGCTAGGCCACATACTGTGGTCACAGAAGCTTCAACTGTTCCTCTCCAACTCGCCGGATCTCCGGTTGCCGACAAAAATTCCGGGTTCTTTCCGGTGAATTCACGCAAAGAATCTCCTCATAAAATATTTCCCAATTGCCGTCGCTTAATCCACCGTTCTCGTTCTGTATCAATGGAATCTGCCGGTGTTAATACGACGACGTCGCCGTCCGTCGTGAAGCTGAAAGTTATAGAAGCAACGCCAGAGAGTTTTAAAGAGTTTGGTCAAGTAATTGAGGCGTCCCTTGATGGAGAAGAATTTGGACCTCGTGATGCTCAGCTTGACTTGAGCCGTGGCATTCCCAGGTCAGGATTCTTCTTTATTTAGCTCAGATAACATTTTCTTGTATAAATTGATGCTCTTCTGAATAAAAACTGCTGTTGCTATGACGAATTAGTGTAAGATCAGCTTCAATTGAACTCATTTTCATACAAATAAGATTAGAAAACCGAACTATGTAGCCTAGGAATAGCAAAAAAATGAATCTTGGCTGTTTGTATTTATTGATAACCAAAAAATTCCCGAGGGTTAGTGAGCATGATCTGAAACTTTATAGATAATGGGCGTGCACCTTTAACCTTCTCCACTGAATACCACACTTTTGTCTATGGCATATTCAAACCCCTGATCAGGGGCGGCTCTAGCATGCTGATTACTGAGTTCGGCTGACCCAGTAACTTTGGTCTAGGCCCTGTATTTGTCTGAAGAAATTTATTAAAATGTACAAATTATAAAGTTAGAATCCAGTAACTTAAAAAGACTAGAATTCTGAACTCATATCTTCAAATCCTAGCTCCGCCTCTGCCCCTGATGTGTGCCTAACCCACATATCACGAACTAATAGTTTTTCTTTTTTAATTTATCCAAATATCATTTGTTGGATTAGTAACGGAGATAATTAAGTGCATTGAGCTGTGTACTTGGTGTTTTCTGTCAGGTTTTACATTATGCAGCTTAAAGATAGGTCGCTTGGGTTTTCTAATATAACACATCATGCGAACGTGACACAATGTCTTGGATCTATTGGAGGCAATGTTTGGTATCTTGGAGTTGCTAAGCCATCTATTGTGGATCCAGCTGATATCAAGGGCGCCAGGGGTGCTGATATTGTGCAGTCACGTTGTGGGCACTTTTATGTGCCTCCTGCTGTTGATGAAGTGCAGGCTTTCAGAATTTCAGGTCCAAAGTTTATAAAGCTGAATCATGGTACATGGCATGCTGGGCCACTATTTACAGATGATAAAATGAACTTTTACAATCTGGAGCTGAACAATACTAATGTAAGGATCTTCTGTTTTCTACTTTTACAGTTGAATTGATCACATTTATGCATGTTGATTACATGCATCATGGAAATACTGTTTTAGACTAACCAGGGAATCACCCCCTTTCTTTTCTTGGTAACGTTAAGTATTGTTGTTTTGGTTCTTAATTTTTAAGCCTAGTTGCTTCTGTTGATAAAAAGAGTGATGATTCACCAGTTTGAAGCTTTAGTGAACCAAACTTTTGGAAAAGAAAATGCTCCAGAAGATGAAAACTTCTAACACAGGACCTCTATGAGAAACTTATATAAGCAAAATTGATATCTGGGAGGGCCGGAGCTCAGCATCTTTTTCCTCCCATTTCTCTGGGCAACATTTCACATCTATTGGGATGTGATGGAAAACTAAATTTGTGTTTATTCATGTCATTATTCTGATTCATACGTTACAATATCTTCTAACTACCATTATCATGTGTTGAAATGTTGTAGCTGTCTTATTTATAAGCTGTAAGTTGTTAGAGAATGATTTTCTTATTTATATTTTTGGTATGCAACATGCCCCTCCCCTTCCCATGGGGGCCAGATTCTTTTTCTTGGGTTAAGCACGTAATATTTGGTTGACAGATGATTGCGAGACTTGAACTCTCCATTTGTTATGTAAAGTGTTGAAATGTGTGAATCACCTTCTTAAACATATAGTAAGGGAGCACTTTCATTTGTGTATTATATGGCTGCAGCAATGTGTTTAGATCTCGTGCTGGGTTTAACAGTCATAAAGAGCCATTTAACACTAAAATAACCTGTGCAATATGTGAATGGGCACCATCAAGTTGAGGACAGACTAACATCGTCAAGGTGGTGCTGGCCTATAAAACCTCATTTGGTGAATAGTTGTTTTATATAAGCTATATGCAATGAATGCATCAGTTCTTTTGTGGATGTATTGATCTATTGTACATGTGCAGGTGGTTGATCACACAACACATGATTTCATCAAGAAAAATGGGGTGGTTTTCCTACTGGATGATTAGGAAAATTGCTAGCATTTCAAGCTTCGATGAGCAATAGGCTGGGGGGATAGTCATGCAGTTTAGAGAACTACCAATGTATCCCTTACATACGTAACATAAGTAAGGCCTGACTAGCACTGCTTTCTGGCTTTTGCTTGTGCTGTTAACAACTGTAGATAGCAGCACCGTTTACTCTACACTTGGCAACAAAACTATGCTCTTGTAATTGCTTTGTATTTGTAAATGCAGCTCAAGACAAAATCTTAATTTAGTTTCTCTATTTATCTTTCATTACTCTAAGAACTATATAAGAATAGTCGTCAACTCTGCATTGGTGAGCTTGCTTACAATGCATGTCCCAAGTCCAGATAAAAGTGGAGGTTGTGGAAGGTTGACCGTTATCACTAGTCAATTTAGGATGAATCATCATAGTACAAAGATATGAACAATGAGTATTCAAATAGTCCATACCATCTTGCTTGGGATCGAGCTTTAGTTGTTGTTGTTGTAAGCATTCTTCAGTCAAATAATTTTTTTAGTGTTTTAGTCATTATCATCTCCATTCTTTGCTGTTCTTAGGTTTTGGTATATGGGAACCAAGGACTTGTTTGACTAGAAAACAGCGATTTAAGAAGTGTTTGTTATAGATACCACTAGCAATTTGAACATGCTTTCTTGTTTTTTTTTATCCGTATTAAATATGGATCGGGTCGCATAATTGATCCGTTTTTTCATTATCCGTTTTCGACTCGAACCATATCCGACCCGACCCGCTCATTTGCCACTCCTAATCACCAATAACAGATATTGTTGGCGTCACTTGTCAGCCGGTTCAACTGCATTATACATTTCATCCCACGTCAGACCTATTGAAAGGAAGGCAAGGAATATAGCGCCATATATTTTTCAAAGTGAAACCTATTTGTCTACTAGGGTTCCAGATATTTATATATTGTAGGTAAATGCTTTACTAATACAGATACTCCACAGTAGAGCTCCGGATATGTATATAGGTGAAGGCGAATGCTTTACTAATACAGATACAACACATATACGACTGAGGACTCAGTGAGAACTCAGTACCTTAAAAACCGATGGTGTACTCCTTTCATTTTACGTGAACATGTTTGATTGAGCAAGAAATTCAATAAGAAAAAGAAATACTTTTAGAATTTATGATCTTAAACACGTTATAGTATTAGTATAGCTATAAAATCATGGTAGTAATGATAAAATGAAAAGTTTATAAATAAATTATTTTCAAATATTATTTTTTTGAAATAGACAAAACAAATAATGTGGCTAAATTGGAAGAAACAGGGGCTTAGGGGTGTCAATGGATCGATTCAGTCAGTTATTTTATAAAATTTGTACCATATTATTTTTTCGGTTATCTATTTTGTGTAACAAAAATTAGACTTTTTAAAATCGTCCAAATCATCTTGGTTTCTCTTTGGTATCGATACAGTTTGATTGTTTTTGGATATATTTTTCTAAAAAAAACATCATGTAAGAGTTTCTAGTAAAAGTTAGAACGCGATTAGAGGCGTACTTGCATATAGCTTTGGTAAAATTTTCTAGACATTTTTACTTTTTAAAAGATGATGAATTAATGGAACATGAAAGATGGACAGAAAAAATTTAGATCCATTCCACCATTCTACAGTTTACGGGGTAAAATTGATTTATAATAAATGGTCGAATTGTAGTATAACATGTGGAACTGAAGATAGGTAAAATTGTAAAAGTCAAGTCAAATAACGACCAATATCGGATACAACAAATTCAACCGACATCAGACAAATACCGAAGGGACCATGGTCAACGAGAGAAGATCGGGTATTTGCCATCGGATAATATTCAATGAGGGAATATTTTCTCACATTAAATGAGCAACCGTTGCAGAGAATATTTGCATTCATGGTCTGCCGTTACGTGCTCATCAATAACTCTTTTTATCACTTAAGATGAGCTTGATCCTAAGATCTTGTTTCCTACGTAAGGCTATAATAATAGGCTCAACAGCCATTGTAAGGGAGAAAATTCTTTGCAAACATATGCAGTACTTTACTTTTGCTCTCAATAAAACAAGTTTACGTATTTTTTATCATTGCTTTCACTTTTGTCCTCGGAGACATTGCGCTCAGAGTCAGGCTTGTTGTCTTCTTCAATTTCAATTGCTAAATCTCATCTTTAATCTTATTTTTTTATTATTTTTGGATCAAATTAGTTCATTTGTTTATAAACCACGTAACAAATTTAACTATAGCATTTTATGGATAAACAGTTTGGCGCTTACCGTCGGGCTTAGACAATTGCATAATTGCGTTGATCCTTACGTTTCTTACTAACTTGTTTGATTTTTTCCTAAGCAAGAAATCAGTAAAGGCAGCTAATGATGTCAACATCACACACAACGTTGAGGAACGCGAAGATTTGCCTCAACATGAATGTCACGACCCAATTCCCGAACCTGGTCGTGATGGCGCCTCTCATGAAGACAAGGCCAGCCATTCAACCCAATTCATCCTTTTAAGACAATTAATTAACACAATTATAGTATAAACATGGTTTAATAATATCCAATAGCGGAAAGTATAGATAAAATACGGAAATCCAACCCAACTCAGCCCTAACCGGGGTGTCACAAGTCATGAGCTACTACAGAGTTTACTAAAATTCTACAAAGTATGGAATTAGGAACGACAACTGAAGATATCATAAATACAGAAGATAAGGGAGAAAACGGGTCTGCGAACGCCATGCAGCTACCTCGATAACTCCGATGAAAACTGAACAGCAGAAAACTCGCTCTATGCCTCAGGAATACCTGTACCTGCACACATGGTGCAGGGAGTAATGTGAGTACTCCGACCCAGTGAGTAATAAATATAAATAATAACTGAAGGTAAGAAAACACGTTAAGGCACACAACACTCTATACAGAAGCAGTGAAATCATTTAAAATAACAATTCAGTGAAACATCATGTGAAATTTCTTTTAAACCAGTAAAAAAAAGATAATTTGGCAGTAAAATGATGAGTAGAAATCTGCCTCTCGGGCTCAATATCAAAACAACAAGTAGAAATCTGCCCCTCGGGCTCAATATCAAAATTATAAGTAGAAATCAGCCCCTCGGGCTCAGTATCAAAATAATAAGTAGAAATCTGCCCCTCGGGCTCAGTATCTCAGAACAGTATCAGCTCCTCAGGCTCAGAACAGTATGAAGCAACCAGTCAATGAAATAAGAGCACATAATTATTATGGCGGATAATGCAGATGAGGAATAAATGCATGAGTGCAATGCAATGCATATGACGGTACCCTTTAGTACCCACTGCAGCGTGGAGCCCGAGCTATCCATATTTATTTATCGTCGACGGCGCTCACTGGGGGGGTGTACAGACTCCGGGGGGCTCCTACAGCCCAAGCGCAATAACAAGCCATCTCGTGGCATCAATCAAGTCCTAGTCAGTCATTGTTACCTCACCAATTTATATCACACAGTGCCATTGTTACCACTGTTTCAAGTCACATCATACAGTGTCATTGTTACCACTGTTTCAAATCACTGCTGCGGCGCGCAGCCCGATCCATGCTCAGTCCAGAAATCATAATAAGCCCCTTGGGCATTTGTAAAACAGTAGTTCTCAGCCCGAAATATAATTTAGAAATTTCAAATCTTAGAAAGATGGCTGAGTTTGCAAAACAGTATTTAAAACTTTGACTGAGATCAAATGATATGCATGTATGCGAAAACAATGATGTCAATCGCTGAAGGATTCAAATAATTGGCAAGAAGCCCAAATGTAACAATTAAATCCAAGTAAGGATGATTTTCAATTTAGTTCAAGTAGAAAACACGGTAAAAACATCTCTCGGGACGGACTAAGTCACAATTCCCAATGGTTCTCTACCCCATGCCCATTATCCGGCGTGCAAGTCACCTCAATATAGCGTTATGATGTGAAATTCCGGGGTTTCAAACCCTCAGGATATCATTTACATCAATTACTCACCTCAAACCGGCTACTTCTTTAGCTCGCGACGTCTTTGCCCCTCGAATTGGCCTCCACGTGCGTCGAATCTCCCCAAAATCACAACGAATATGTCGCATTATGCTAAAGGGACAATACCCAATCGAAAGCAATCGAAAAATATCAAAATTCACGAATTTGACAAAACCCGAGCCCCGGGCCCACGTCTCAAAACTCAGAAATTTTTATACCAAAATGTTCTTCATCCTCTCACGAGCCCGTAAATATAAAGAACACAAAAATCGGAGCTCGTTTAACCCTCCAAATCGACCCTAGAAAATCTCAAAAGCACAAGCCCTAAAACCCCACTTTTCTACTGATTTTCATGTTCTAATTCACATATAATCTTGTATTTAACTTGGAAATAAGTAGAAACAACTCACCTTTGATGCTTGATAAAATCCCCCTTGAAATTCTCTCCAAAATCATCCAAGCCAAATGAAAGAAATGAAAGAAATAAGCCAAATCCGTGTTTAAAGAATCTGCCCATGCTTCGTCGAGTTGTACCTTGCACTTGTGTTATACAAGTTGTACATCTTGTTAAAATTTTTTCTTGTCGGATACCTTCTGTTTAAACACCCATAACGTCTTGTATAAATATCCAAATTACAAACGGTTTGAAGATTTAGAAACTAGACTCGAAGATATCTAATTTGATAGGTTGTACACCATATAACTCTTTATATATCCCGAGATATGAGCTTCTAAAGTCGGCTCCATGAAATCCGAAAATTCTGGAGAAACTGCTCCACCAATCATCTTCAATCAATCATAACTTTTTCTACAGATGTCTAAATTAATATTTCCTTAGCTTTTTGGAAACTAGACACGAAGGGATACAACTTTCGTTTCTGAATCATCTCAAAATTCCTTGTAGATAAAAAGATATAGGCCTCCGAAGTACGCTCCATGACTGCACATTTGCTGTCCAAAGACAGCTTAGCAGCAGAAATTGCAGCAGCTTTATCTTTTCTTTTTGGGTCCGAATTCCATTCCGTTAACCTTCCGAAATCCACCCGAGGCCCTCGGGACCTTAACCAATTATATCAGCATGTCCCACAATATCATTCAAACTTGTCCCAACCTTCGGAACACCCAAAATAACATCAAAACATCAAAACATCAAAACATCATCAGATTCAAGCCTATGAATCTCAAGAACTTCCAAATTCCATTTTTGATCAAAACCCCAACCAAACCACGTTTGAATGACCTCAAATTTTGCATACAAGTCCAAAATGACATAACGAAGC